GTAGGACTCTGTGCTTTTGGTGTCCCTTTGAGACAACCACCAAAAGGGTACCCTAAAGACAAGCACAAACATTTATGCTTCTTGTTTACCACCAAAGTGACCTTCCAGCAAAGCTTTACATAATCCCACAAGCTGGGGAGGTGAGTTCAAGTGAACATTCGGAGGGGTTCCCAAAATTGCAGTTGGGGGGAGGTCTCTCTTTTAAACACCATTTAGAAAGCAACTTTCATCATAAGAAGTCAACCGATCCTGAGAGACCACCCTAGTTGGTACGGTTGTGTTCACTGAAAATTGGCCCCGTAGCTATCAACAGGTAACTTGAGTAAATCGTTTGGTAGCTTGCCTTCTGGAAACTTGCCCCGAATTTCGCCCAAAAAAAGAGACTCCGGCAGGACTTCGCCGTGCTCCCACAAACCGAAGGCACCAGTGAAAGGGCTGGGTCCATTTCAATCTTAAGGGGCGCCCTTTTCAGGTGCCATGTCAGTGGGAGGGAGGGGAACAATCGACTACTGACAAAGTCTTGCCAGTCAAATCGTTTCGTCCAACGAGTTGGGACGCGCAAACTCCAGCGAAAGGCGCTGCCGCCTGGGGGATGAACATTGTACTGGCCGATTCGCCACTTTGGTGGCTCCCAGGAAGCCACGGAAGAAAGGGCAACAGCCTACGGTCTGAAGGGTGAATCAGATGTTCGTGTTGAGTCATCAACTCTGAGAGGCTGCAATCCAGATCACGTTTGGGGGGGTGGGAACACCCCCCCAATAAATCCACCAGGCTGATCAGTCCAAGGCCGACGTTCATAGCTCAAAACCCCAGAATTTGGACCAGGTCGGAGTCAGAACACCCCGGGTCCAAAGGCATTGGTTTTGGGCTCCCGGCCGCAGGATGCACAAGACGTGGCACCGGACCTCTCAGACGCTGTTTGGCCCCTTTGAGGAAAAACTGAATCGTTTGCATGCCTCGATCTTGGTCGGCTTTTGGCGAATTGGCAACATGCACTTGCGGCCCAGCCCTAAAAATGAAAAAGATCTGAACGGTTTCCTTTTGATCCATGTTCGGACCAAACGACAGAAGGAAAGAGCCCCTCGGGAAAGCGACCGCATGGAGGATTTCTATAGGGGGCAACCCAGTTGCTGGGCCACTCCCGAATTTGCCCCAAGGCAACGCTCCAGCTTAGATTAAAATTTATTGTCGCTAGTGTGCGAATATGTGCGAATCATTCTCTGTCCTCAAGGTTCCACATCAATGGTTTAGGGTTTAGAGTTTAGGGTTTAGAATTTCGGGTGAATCAAGAACCCACTTGCAAACCAAACCAAACTCCATGTCCAGTTTCTGTGGGCACCATCGGATTGAAGCGAGTTGCGTGCTAGAACGCAAGGGGCGTTCCTTGAAAAAAACCTTTCTACTCGGCCAGACTTAGACTCCCAACTGTGGACAATAAAAAAGGCAAACCATACACACAGCAAGCACCACTTGGCAATGTCGAATGGTTGTCCAAAATATCTACGCAGGGATACATCGCTGGAGAACGCAAAGTTAACATGATATATTGTCAAGTGAATCCCCAAGAAAACTTGGCCAGACTTAAATCTGCAAGAGTCGTAGCTTTGCATGGCACAAGGGAAATGAAGGAGGCCTAACAGTGCAAAAGGCTCACAAGGTGAGTTGCCCCTAATTTGTATCCAGCTGGACACCTTCCTGGATGTCCGGTCGAGGCAACCCAGGGTTCCCGTACCAGACCCTTACGGAACCAAGTCAAAGAAAGTGGCACACCAGAAACGAGCTGTCCATGGGGTGTGGGTCAAAACCCCGCCCCAGATTCCCTTTCAAATGTACAAAGAGGGAACTCTGTTTTAACCCACGCCCATGCTGCCAATGGACGACATCCATTCGCACCACTTTGAAACCAGGGCTGAAACCATAATGTTTGTTTGTATTTCTGAACACTGGTGTCCAAGAGGATTTCGCAACCATCCACAGCATGTAGTCCACCTTAAGGTCTAATTTCATATCCCAGTTAGGTTCAGCGGCCGAGCTTTCCTGGGTTCAAGTCACTTGGCAGGGATTGTTCACAACGACCGACGATTAGGCTTGCTTCAAAGTACCCCCCCCCCCAGGTTCTAATCTGGGCTGTCCTCAAATCCCCTGCGAAAAGTCCAACTTCTCGCCACAAAAGCAGCCTAAGGAAGCCTAAGGAACCGGGGAATTGACGGGAACCCGCCAGCAACTTTGTTTGATGTTGCCCCAGGATAAAATAAACCCGTCCCATGGTTAGGGGGGGTGGCTCCCCGCAAAAGTGGTCCGAATCCCCACTAAAAGGGGACAACCCCCCATTAATCAACCAAGGGTTTCTTAATCCGGGGTTAACATTACACCACAAATCCCAAGAAACTTGTATCCGCCCACAGTTCCGGCTCGGGTTAGCATTAACAACCCCCCATTAATCCGGGGTTAGCATTAAGGACTCTGACCACGGCCCCGTCGACTCGACTTTGGCGGATCCAGATCTCGGCTTCCAGGCCACTCCGTCCAGGCGCAGTACAAAGGCTCCGCGCATTCGCTGGTGCAGCTGGTGGTCTGGCGAAAAGAACATGCGAAGAGACCTCCCCCCAAAAAGAAAAAGCAAAAGACGGAAGAAGGCGTTGCCTGTCTTTTGAATTGGTGGCATGGGTTAGTTTTTCCTTTTTGAGGTCCCAAGATTCTTCCAATGGAGATCGCTTGCCTCCTCACAGGGCTCCAATCAGTTGGTGGCTTGGGTTGGTGGTTTGGAGGGTAGGGGGTAGCTTAGGTCGCTAGGGTGGTTTGGATGGCTCCACATTGACTGTAGACCCCAAACTACCAATCCGAAACTGGAAGAAGGAGGGTGCAATCCTGGTGAACTATTGGAAGAAGAAGTGAGGCACGTCGGCCTTACACTTTTAGACGGGCAGGCCAAACTTTTGCAATGAGTCCAAAAAGAAGACACCACCTGGCTTCCGCCCCGCCCAAAGCAAATGTTGCAACATTCTAGGGGTACCTTCGCCATTCTTTCCAGGGATCCTTCTTTTCAGGAAACCATCCAAAACCCAGGGGAAACGGATCCGGTTATCGAAAAGAACGATGGTTGAAAAGCATGGAAAAGGAATCAACCCCCAGAAACATGTCGGGCAAACTAAAAAGTGCCCAATCGGGATCCCCTTGTAAGAGACCTCCATGGATGAGCTTCGCTTCGACCCTTCCTGGTAGCTTCGCTTTGGTTTCCCTTTAGGTGCATTCTCAGAAACTCCATGGCGATAGAAAACTTGAAATGAAACAAAGGAACCTACTATTTGCATGATTGACCGTTCCAGCACCTGAAATAAGGCATCGAGTGGGCTCATGTTTCGCCCCCCCGTCTGAGTCACTGAGTTTGCCAAAGCAATGGTAGGTGTATTTGATGCGAAAGTGACAAATGATACGATGGCACCAAACAAGCAAAGCCCCAGATGAAAGCCCTTACAATGTCTAGCCTCCCCACCAATCACCTCCAGTGGCCATAGGAAAAAGCGGGCACCCTATGTGTGGTAACATGAGAGCCCCCGTCCCAACAAAGGCAACAAACCGGGATCCGGTTTGCCTGGAAAGGACCAGCTGGGGCAAAAAACACACACACACACACGCAGCAAAACAAGTTGCGCTGGACTGAGTCCCCTCAGGTCAAAAGAAACGGCCCTGCTTGCTTTTCGCCTGTGTCGGAGAGCTCTTGGCTGTCGTGCCAAAGAGGCACCAGATCGATCCCCGGATCCTTCCCCCGGATGCAAATTCGCAGGTCCGGCACTTGACCCAACTCGTTTGGTAGAGGCCTTTGAAGGGGGTCAAAGGCACTCAAAAAATGTCTCTGGCTCCTAGGAAGTATATATATATATAAATAGAATTATATCATATATTTTACTACATATTTGCTGAGTCCCCAAGGGCTAGCGTCCATCCATTCCAAATCCAATTGCCAAAGATCCACTGGCCTTTAGGCCTTGACAAGGACCGCACAGAATCGGGAATCAACCCTTCCAACTTCGGAAGGGCTCCATACTGTGGATGGACGAAATCCTGCACTACCTGAGAAACCCGAGAACCATGATTCCCTTGAAAAAACCAAACCAACAATGGCTTCCTATGGTTTCAACGTGGTGCAGGATTTCGTCCACCCACAGTATGGGCTCCATAAGCCCCAGGTCTACCTCGACTGGAATTCTCCCGGGACACCAACTCCTCCGGTTTGGTTGGTTCTTTGGAGACCTCGCACCTCCAGATCTGTACCCAACCTCTTGACGACCTACTTCCATTTGCTTTTAAGTTTCTGGAACAAATATAAATCTGTCCAGTACAAAACCCCTGGAAAACCAACAAGAACAACAAATAGTTATTCATCTCAGCAAATGGAAGCTTAAGATCAGATCCGCTTTCCATCTCCAGATCTCGGATCTTGGACTCGGCCAACTTGGCGCTCGGGGCGTCCCGTCCGTCGAATGCGTGGACCTGCCGCTTCCGCTCCACCAGTGCGAGGCGGAACTGGCGCGAGGTCGACTCGGTCGATCCGCGGCTGGAGAAGCTGTGGCCTGGACAGGGGAGCCCCGCGTACCTCTAAACCCAAGGAACATTCACCGCAAATTGGGCCCTCGCGGAAAAAAACAGCGATCCCAAGTTGGGCAATAGGTTCCCTTCGAATGTGGCAACCTTTTGTTTTGGGCAGCCCCAGACTGCCGGGTTCTCCTTTGGGTGTCCCTTTTTCAACCAACTTCCAAAAGGGAACTTCAACTCCAAATCGCGAGTGTTTTGTTTAAGGTACCCCCCCAACATTGTAGGCTTTCCTTAAGACCTACAGTACCAAAAAGAGGGAACTTCAACTCATTCAACAAAAAAACACCCAAAAACAACATGTCCCTTTAAAACCCAGCCAACCAACAGTGTACACTTCAACCCAAACAAAAACAGAAACGAGCCACCGCCGCCCTTTTTGGGGCGGATTTTGTTCCCATTTTCCCGTCCTAGTCCGGGGATGGGAGCAGCTGCACTTGGCAGAGCTTCAAGTGCAGCTGGGCCTCCAGGAAGGGCACGCGGGCGTTCCTCACCGACGACGACGACGACGAAAACCGGAGGAACCCCCACCCGAAAGCGCCGCATGGGAAAAACTCGGCCGAAGACGAGGAAGACCAGAGCGGAGGAACTGGTATCCCTCTTCTCCGTTCTTAGTCTCTATTTTTCCGTTCTTATTACGCTCCCTCAGACTAACATGGAAGCTCCCAGAAGGCCTCTGTAAATGGAACCAAGTCTTCCAAAGGGTGCTGGGAGCTTCCATGGAATCGCCTGGGGGAGGGTAGTTTGAACACTTCACCCGAAAGTGCCGCACCATGGAACAAAACCCGGGCCGGCCTCACCATGGGAACCTCTAAAACCCCCCCGCTTTTTGTTGCAGGTTCCGCGCGTAAAGCCCCTCCACTGGGAAAAAATGGTGTGCCCCAAAACTCGGGAGTTTCCTGAGAAATCTGCAAAAACAAGTGGCGGTGGCTCGCATGGTAGAGGTACCCTTTTCGGGGTTGGGTTTAAAGGGAAACCCACGTTGGGTGTCTAAAAATGGACACCCACTTCTTCACCAGAAATCTGCAATATCAACTCCGTTTTGCTGCCCTTGACATGTTTGCTTCAACCGAAACAGGGGTCCATACGCCCAGGCCATTTTTGGAAGTGTGAGTTGTCCCCTAAAACATGCTTGCCCAACAGCTGAGACAGGCTCTGGGGTGGTGCGGGGTTCAATGGGTTCCCCAAGCATTTAAATCCAACAAACCTCAGGAACCGGATGGCTGGGACCCACCAAGAAACTAAACAACTACACTACCCGGCAGATGGATGGCACAATTCGGACGCACATGTTTGGGTAGATGGCACGAAAGCCGGACCAAAACAAAAAACGATCTGTTGGCACACTTCGTCAATGATCCGGCGAATTGTGCCATCTATCCGCCTCCATTTGCTTCAGGCCCCCTTTCTGCACCCGGAGGATGGGCACAAACCGAGGCACATGGTGCGCGCCCAGGCATCCAACTTGCTGACGACCACGGCTCCGCAGCCCAGCTGTAGCAAGATCTGCACCAACCGCTTCAGCACCCCGGTGTTGCCCTTCAGCCTCAGGACCCCCCCCAAAAAAAACAAGGGTTTTCGCGCATGTAAATACATTCACACAATGGCATTTATATTATATTATATATATATATATGTATATACAGTGATTATGAGGGGGGGGTGAGCATACATATATATATATATACTGTGGATGGTTGCGAAATCCTCTTAGGCACCACTTGGAAACCATGGTTGAAACCATTGAATCTAGTGGTATTTACAGGCGCTTCAGCATTCCAGGGTTTCTTAGGTGGTGCAGGACTTCGTGCATCTACACAGGAACGAGTCCCGGTGGATTTCCTGAACCTTTCAATGGAAGACCTGGCTCTGGTCTCAAGCCTCGGCAGTTTTTGAGGCCCCCAAATCACTCGGGCGCCTCTGATTTCCAAGATTCCCCGGCGAAAAAAATACAAGTGGCACTTGTGGCACTCGTGGCTTTGTTTGTACTTCTTGGTTTGGAGGTGTTCCGGGGTCGTTCTACAAGAAGGGTCCAAAACCCTGAACCCAATCCAAACCACCGAACTGGGGCTGCACGGGGATGCTCAAGACTTGTGTACCTTTTGGTAGTGAAAGGGGGACCAACAGGAAACTGCTGCCATTTTAGGGGGGCCTGATTTTTTTTCGCAACACCCATTTCAAATCCAGAGAACAGAAAAGAAGAGAGCAACGCCCGTTTTCAAACTGGTCATGACACGTATTCCTTTTGAGCAACACTCTAGGGGTACCTTCCATGTCCATTCTTTCCAGGGATCCGAATCTTTTCAGGAAACCATCCAAAACCCAGGGGAAACGGATCCGGTTAAACAAAAATAATAATGGTTGAAAAGAATGGACAAGGAAACCCCCAGAAACACCCATATACCCCTTAAAACTCCAAGCCCTGGGGAAGTTAATCTTTTACAGACATATAGCCCATGCTACCCAAAAAGTTGAGAGAAGTGGTGTTTTTAAGAGGTAAGCCCATATAAACACACGTTCCAAACCCCCAACGGCAGATTGGAGGCATCGCCCTCGCCCGCGATCGCGATCAAAAAGGCCGGGCGGCAGGAGGCCTCCGAGCTGCCACACCTGGCGTCGACGAGCCAGGGGGGACATGAGCCCTGGGCAAAAACCCATGGCACGAGTTGGGCGGTGGGTCAAAACCAAGGATACCCAAAATGGGTTGCCCGATCGGTAAGTGGAATGGACGAAAAAACCTGCGGTCCAATTCCAGGTGTGTTAGTTTTGAACCATACCCCTTTGGTTTCACCCAATGGTTTGTAGGGGAACACCCGGTAAAAAAAAAAAAAAAAAAAAACTATCCCTGGGGAGAAAACAACTTGTATGGGGATGGCTTATACGGGAAACCAGTCTGGACTGGACTGGACGGGTGGGATAACAAACGCACCCATACCAACCCGAATTGTCCTACATCATGCTGGGGAAGTGCAAGACTAACCTCACCCACAGAGATAATCCCTTGAGCAAGGTCTCATAAAAATCATCATTTTCGCGGGAAATGTGTTCCAACTCCCAAAATGGTCCGCGCCACTGACGGCCAGTTTCTTTCGATGGCTGATCCTTCCATGTGCTTTTCTAAACCCTAAGACCTCCAGCCACCCAGTTGCTACCTTTGCCATGTACCCCAGATGCGAAGAAGAGACTTGGCTACCACCGTTGACTTTACCTTGGAAAGACTTGGAAAGACGAATCTAGAACCATAGCAAAGGGAGCCATTGCAACCCTTCATGTCTTTTGTTTGGGGGGAAGTCTCCTTTGTTTTTTGTCTTTTTTTGGGGGGGGACCCTAAAATGAATTCAGGCCGCAAAACGGTGCTGCGAGGAGCTGTGAGAGAGAGAGAGAGAGCGAGAGAGAGAGAGAGCGAGAGAGAGCGAGAGAGAGAGAGAGAGAGAGAGAGAGAGATAGAGAGAGAGAGAGAGGGGGGGGGACCCTAAAGAGAATAACTTTGGTGTTCTTGTTGATTTCCCTTTAATACCAAGGTTCCCCAAAAAAGTCCAGGTATCCCCAACAGCCCGGAATTTCTGGAACCCTTCGGAACCCTCCCTGGTTTCTGACTCCATAGCTTTCAGCTGTTGTGGAAAACACTTTCAAAGGCAACCAAACAAAAACCACCCCACCCGCCAAAGCCTGGGCCGATCGACAACCAGCTGGACAAAGGGCCGTGTGACCTTCCTATGCTGCCGGTCCTATGGCTCTCCGCCAATCAGCCCACGGGCACACGGCTCTTTCAGCGCAGCTTTCAGGGAGGGTTCCGGGCCGAGTCCGAGAGATTGGGTTCCCGGGATGGGGAGACCTCCTGGCTGGGCGGATGTTTTAGGGGAAGGGGGTCTTCAAATCAGCCAACCGATATGTTTCCCGCGGACATCCAATGGGCTTTGACTGCCCTCAGCTGCCGGCCCAAATCGTCCTTGAATTTGAAAGCCCCCAAATTTGCCGCTCCCCAAATAAAATGGACCAACAAGAGAAAACTAAAGGTCAAACGCTGAATTCGCTTTGCGCCAGTTCTCAAACTCCCTGGAAATTCGCGTGTGTTTTGTTCGTGGAGGGGACGTCACGGTTTTCCCTACTGGCGACGTCCCTTGGAAAGAAAACCCCCCCAAAACAAAAAAAAAACAAAAGCATGGAACGCCGCGTGATGTTTTTCGCGCTGGCGACGTCCCCGGGAAAACAGAACCCTTCCCCGACAATCCGCCCGTCACCTGCGACATAAAGCCCGACAAGTTCACCAGCCGCGCCAGGGCAGGATACCTCAAAAGATCGGAGAGGTGATGGGCGCGTGGGAAAGGAAGGCCCCCTGAAACGTAGAAACATTCAGTTTTAATATCATTCACCTTGATGAAAGTCAGACTTTTCTTGTTATTGTCTAAGAAGTAATCTTTTGAGGGTGCCCTTTGTTCACTTTGTTCAGCGGGGTGGGAGTGTTTTGAGGAATGCAAAACGGAAACGACGCATAGCATTGGCCCGTCCCAGTGCTTGCAGCCACAGTACAATTTGGAGGCAGGGAATGGTGCCGGATCCTCACTGGGTGACCATCCAAAAAGTCTCCAGACCGGTTTGGCACCTGCGTCATAAGGAAGCCAGTGTAACCTAGTGACCGACTGCCTAGCCAACCAAACCCACTCTTTCAGTTCGTTTCGAGGAGTCTGAACACGGTTGCTTGCTTCCCAGGCAAGGAAGCCGGGGGGTAATCAATACTCCTGGCCGAATGACCATGGGCAACTTTCCAAGGAAGTCGCATTCTTCTTGATTTTCCTGAATGGTCGTCCCCAAGTATTTTCCTTTTGCAAGGTCCTAAGGGTGCCAAGGGTCTGGATTTAGCATGAGCTTGCGATCCGCGTAAACTCAATACACCCTTCCGAACCTTCAGGAAATGAGCAGAACCAAAGTAAATAATTACACCCCACTCCCGGTGAGCTGTAGACCGACCAAACCCGGGCAGCCACTAGTTGGCACTTGGGGGCCACCTAGTTGCGAAGCCAGCGACCCCTTCAGTCGTTAAAACTATGTTTGCGAAAGGGACATGCCCAAAGAGAAAGGGGGAAATGACTTGTTGATGTTCGGCAGGGAATGAGAATTGGAATGACACCAAGGAAAACCATCCATCCCTACGGTTTCCTTTCTGCAAAACTCCCCAAATGGTTCATTGCAAACAGCCGGACTCGGATACTCATTCCCTATCGCCAGGAAGCCAAGCCTTGTCCCAGGCCGAAGCTTTGGGCACAAAGCACCCCAAGGAAAAGCCTGGAGTCTACCTTCAACACCAACCAAAAAATCCAAATTCCCAAAAAATGACCCCCTCCAATTTGTTGTTCTCACGAACTCGGCATTCGCTGGTTCCCATGGAAGGGAGAATTCCCTTCCCTGCAGGCGAGTTAAGTGCTTTTCCGGAAAGGTCGCAAGGCCTGTACTTTTTTTTCGCCAAATGCTTGGTTGGGAATGATCTACAGACCCGGAAATTGGCGCACCAAATGGTGGCCGCGAGTTCAGCACGGTTTGTACCGGGGCATCTAGTCAACCCTGGGATGTCTGGTTGCGCCATTTGGTGGCTTCAAAACGTTCGACTTGAGCCAAGCCACGCGTTTGGGTAAAGGCAACATAAACTCAAACCCCGGATATTTCCTGGATGGGCCACTGGGTTTAAGTATAAAGGGTAATCAAAAAAAGGATTGCTGCAAACGGGATACACGATGGAGGCGGCCAGGGTTAGGTAGAGGCTCAGGCTCCTCAAACGTCGCGTTGCGCGACTTCGGCGAGAGTCGGAATCCCTTTGAGTTGGTTGATCCGATGTTCAGGTCCTCCAAAGACCAACGGAATAAAAGGGAGAAAGAGGGAAAGTCTCCACTTCCCGAGTGGATTGGCAAACAAAGTCCAAACAGCTTATTTGCTACTAAACTGGTCTTCCCATAAAGTAATGTCCACGTGGGATTAGTAAACGGCGGTCCCCCCCCCTCAACGATGGGGGCACCTGAAATACTATCTTGAGATCCAGTTCAAGTGAGTTTCCATTTGATTTAGTATTGGTAGACTTGAGTTTCCATTTGATTTAGTATTGCTGGAGCTTCCTTTTGAGATTTGGAACTGAGTTTCCATTTGATTTAGTATTGGTAGACTTGAGTTTCCATTTGATTTAGTATTGCTGGAGCTTCTTTTTGTTCTTCTTGGGGGGGGGCCAGGCAACAAGACTTTATTTCGGGGGCCCCTGAAATAATGTCAAGTTGGGGGCTGAAGTACTACCCCCTTTGTGGGTTTGATTGTGGGCAGGTTTTCAACAAGAGACATGTAAGAAAACATGGGTTTGGTAAAGCTGACAATTTGGGATTTAAGGAACAAGGTACCAAAAATCCAAGGACCAGGTGTTGGCTTGGCTATCTCTCCTCTCCTTTCTCTCTTTATTTTCTTGGGGGGGGGGGGATTTTTTGTTGGCGCGGGTGGCGGGTGCTTGTCTTTAATTCAGGTGCATTTCTTAATCTTTTTGGGCCCCCCAGTGGTCTTTATTTCGTGTGCATTTATAAATCCTATGTGGACATTAAAAGGGTCCAGGAATTCAGGAAGTGAAGTGCTCAACCCGTTGCCTTGTTTGAACTTTGGGCCCTTCAAGGACCCCTCACTTTTGCACGGGAAAGGGTGTCCTTTGAGTGGGGAAACCACCCAAGGTCGGAGGCCAACGCCTTTCGGTTCAAATGTTTTACTTTTGACCAACTGGGTGTGGCTCAAAAAACAGGCGCTAACCATGGCCTATTGTTGATGATAATGGTTTTGCCCGGGCCTCTCTTCCAGCCATTGCAATTAGAATTTGTTTCAGATCTTCATTCAAATTGTAACACAGGTGCCCAAACTTGAACCCTGGTACATGGAAACAAGGACTCAAACCTGCGGTCTCCCTAGTGGTTTAATGTTGACCCGTACCTAAATTGTGTTGTCTCCAAAACTCAAAGGCACCCTTCTGATTGGCTTTTGAAGGGACCAAAACGACAACACGCCCGCTCGCCCAGAACGGCATACGTTCCAAAGAGCTCATGACCAGGAGAGTTTGGTCAATATGCACTAGCGACTGGGTTTAAGTCGAGTTGAACCGCAGAACGTCGCAGAACATCTCTTCAAAGGAAGCTATATTTGGGAGCTTGGTGGATATCCAGGACCTCATGCGAGACAAGGACGAACAATACTTGACCCAAGAAAGGGTACATATAAAATAGCTTGAAACAATTGAAACAAGTTGAACAATAAGCTACAACGGGAGCTCCGCCAACAAACCATGTTGGATGTTCAAGAGTTCAAAACAATAGCCATTGACTTGCCACAAAGCAGGGATTTGGTTCATTTCCGCCTACGATGCCTGTTGCTGGTTTCTTCAGCACTGACAAATCTGGATCTGATCATTCACGCAAACTTCCTGGGTGGATTGGAAAAAGCGTCTAAACGCTCGCTTGCCACCAAAATCATCTTCCAAAATCCGGGCACTCAGGGCGTGAGTTGGAACCACCTCACCATGGCTGCAAGTCATAACCAGGGTTGCCAAAGCCAATTACCTGACGTCCCCGGGGGAAAAACCAAAAAACACAAAAAAGCGGCACTGCAAGCCGGATTCGGCGCCGGGGTTCCGAGACTCCGGTGCTTGGCAAGCCATGGGCCAGGGGCTTGACCAGCATTTGAAGGTGTGTCTTTCTTTGACGCTAGCCTTAGGGCTCTTTTTTGAAAAATGGTGGACCCCCTTTTGGTTGGTATTTGAAAGGGAAGGCAAAAGGAAACCCAGTAATCTAGAGCAACCCTATGTTGGGAAAGGACACCAAAAAAAAAACAAATCCATTTCGGAGGCTCCATTTCGTCTGAGACAAAGCCTAAGGAAACAAAGGGGGAAGCTTCTGCTTGACCCGACATCTCTGTCCGGATTCATGTCCACTTCGCAGGTGGGTACCAAAAGACCAAAGTAAGTCGGCACAGCAAGTGCCTGGATTTCCCATTGCTCTTCTCCGGACACGTTACCCCAAAAACTGTTTGCTGGGAAACAGCTGCAACTGGCGATTCAGGAAATCCAGACCCTTGAGCGGTTCCAGCCACCCCTGGGTTTAAGTCTACCTTCTGGGAATCCAACAATGGAACTCTGATTCAGCCTCTTGCGGCCATTTGGCCATGGGTCAAAATCCCGTACTCCCAGTCAGTGAACATCCCAATCCCCACTAGAATAGGCTAAGACAGGTGGTGCACCTACCCCAAAATGGTACCAAAACGGTTTTGACCCACAGCCATTTCTCCTCTTGAAGTGGTCGTAGACGTGTGGGATGTGCCCAGAGATCGCGTGGGTGCCGCACGCCAACAAAGCGCCCAAGGTGGTCAAGGGCAGCCTGTACCTCGCATGGCCAAGTACCAAAGCTTCCTCAGCCGAAAAGACTTGGCCCGGGGCACACAGAACAATGCAAAAAAAACATATTAGTTCTGATAAAACAGGGGCACACAGAAGAAACATAGTTCTGACCCTGGACCATATCTCATCTAGCCTGAAATATAGAATAGCTTTGGCTTGGAGACCGAGGGGATAAGCCTTGGGGAAGAAAAAGAGGCCAAGGCCTGGATGTAAGGCGACGGGTTGTACCTGTGCCCTTTGACCCCATAGCATTGCCTTTGGCGAAAACACACCCCGCTGTGTTTGGCCGGAAAACAAGGCCGCTTGTAGGTCTGCCTGAACCATGTAAAACGGGCGGTGTTTAAACCAGGGTTCCCCACAGGATGCTCAACTGGCCCAAATGTGTCTGTTTTCAGCACCCTGTAAAACAGGAAGGGGTGCATAAGCCTTACAGGGGGCAAATCCGCCGACAACAGACGGCGTGTTGGACATAAGAAATGCTCCTTACCTCTTTACCTGTTACCCCTCCCCTGACCCCTCCCCAGGGGCAGCATTTCAGACTGAGGGGGGGGGGGGTCCACGTACCACGCGGTGATTCGAAGACGCTTCACTAAATCTGTTCATTGTGCGGGCTTGCGCAACACAGTTTGTCAAAAACATTGGGGTGTTCGATTCCCCCCGGGTGCGCTTTCGCATCCTTAGCAGCTCCAGCGGCACATCGCCAGCATCACCTGCATCATCCGCATCAGCGCCTGCCAAGGATGCAGATGATGCAAGTGATGCTGGGAGGAAAGGGAGCAGATCTGGGGACAAAGGCCTTAGGGGGGAAAGTGGAGAAATGATCTCAACAGTGAAAGGGGTGGAAAAGATCTTAGGGAGGAAAGGGAGAAGATCTGGGGGAAAAAAGGCCAACAGGGAAAGGGGGGAAAGATCTAAGGAAGGAAAAGGGAGAAGCTCTCATGGGGGGGAAAGGCCTGAGGGGGGAAAGGGTGGGAAGGATCTCAACAGGGAAAGGGGGGAAACAATCTTAGGAAGGAAAAGGGAGAAGATCTGGAAAGGCCTTAAAGGGAAGGGGGGAAAGGATCTCAACAGGGAAAGGGGGCAAAGGATCTTAAGGAGGAATAGGAAGAAGATCTCAGCGGGGGGAAAGGCCGTAGGGGGGAAAGAGGGGAAAGGATCTCAACAGGGAAAGGGGGGGAAAGATCTCAGTGAGGAAAGGGAGAAGGTCCCAGGCAGGGAAAAGGCCTTAGGGGGGAAAGGGGGAAAGGATCTCAACAGGGAAAGGGGGCAAAGGATCTTAGGGAGGAAAAGGGAGAAGATCTGAAAAGGCCTTAGGGGGAAAAGGGGGAAAGGAGCTCAACAGGGAAAGGTGGGAGAAGATCCTAGGGAGGAAAAGGGAGAAGATCTCGGGGGGAAAGGGGGAAAGGATCTCAACCAAGGGAAAAGATCTTGGGGAGGACAAGGGAGAAGATCTCAGGGGGGGAAAGGCCTTAGGGGGGAAAGGGGGAAAGGATCTCAACAGGGAAAGGGGGCAAAGGATCTTAGGGAGGAAAAGGGAGAAGATCTTGGGGGGGAAAACGCCTTAGGGGGGAAAGGGCGGGAAAGGATCTCAACAAGGAAAGGGGGGAAAAGATCTTAGGAAGGAAAAGGGGGAAGATCGCGGGGGAAAAAAGGCCTTAGGGGGGAAAGGAGGGAAAGGATCTCAACAGGGAGAGGGGGGAAAACATCGTAGGGAGGAAAAGGGAAAAACTCAGAGGGAGAAAGGGCCTTAGGGGGGAAAGGGGGAATGGATCTCAACAGGGAAAAATGGCAAAAGATCTTAGGGAGGAAAAGGGAGAAGATCTCAGGGGGGGAAAGGCCTTAGGGGGGAAAGGGGGGAAAGGATCTGAGCAGGGAAAGGGGGGGAAAGATCTTAGGGAGGAAAGGGAGAAGATCTGGGGGCAAAGGCCTTAGGGGGGAAAGGGGAGAAATGATCTCAACAGGGAAAGGGGTGGAAAAGATCTTAGGGAGGAAAGGGAGAAGATCTGGGGGAAAAAAGGCCAACAGGGACAGGGGGGAAAGATCTAAGGAAGGAGAAGCTCTCAAGGGGGGAAAGGCCTCAGGGGGAAAGGGTGGGAAGGAACTCAACAGGGAAAAATGGCAAAAGATCTTAGGGAGGAAAAGGGAGAAGATCTCAGGGGAAAGGCCTTAGGGGGGGGAAAGATCTTAGGGAGGAAAGGGAGAAGATCTGGGGGCAAAGGCCTTAGGGGGGAAAGGGGAGAAATGATCTCAACAGGGAAAGGGGTGGAAAAGATCTTAGGGAGGAAAGGGAGAAGATCTGGGGGAAAAAGGCCAACAGGACAGGTGGGAAAGATCTAAGGAAGGAGAAGCTCTCAAGGGGGGAAAGGCCTCAGGGGGAAAGGGTGGGAAGGATCTCAACAGGGAAAGGGGGGAAACAATCTTAGGAAGGAAAGGGGGGGGGGAAGATCTTAGGGAGGAAAGGGAGAAGATCTGGGAGAAAAGGACTTAGGGGGGAAAGCCCAACAGGCAAAAAGGGGGGAAAAGATCTTAGGAAGGAAAAGGGAGAAGCTCTCAGGGGGGGGAGAAAGGCCTTGGGAGGGAAAGGGGGGAAAGGATCTCAACAGGGAAAGGGTGGGAAAGATCTTAAGGAGGAAAGGGGGGGGAAGATCTTAGGGAGGAAAGGGAGAAGATCTGGGAGAAAAGGACTTAGGGGGGAAAGCCTAACAGGGAAAGGGGGGAAAAGATCTTCGGAAGGAAAAGGGAGAAGCTCTCAGGGGGGGAAAGGCTTTCGGGGGGAAAGGGGGAAAAGGATCCCAGCAGGGAAAGGGGGGGGGGGGAAGATCTTAGGGAGGAAAGGGAGAAGATCTGGGGACAAAGGCCTTAGGGGGGAAAGGGGAGAAATGATCTCAACAGGGAAAGGGGTGGAAAAGATCTTAGGGCGGAAAGGGAGAAGATCTGGGAGAAAAAAGGCCAACAGGGAAAGGGGGGAAAGACCTAAGGAAGGAAAAGGGAGAAGCTCTCAGGGGGGGGAAAGGCCTGAGGGGGGAAAGGGTGGGAAGGATCTCAACAGGGAAAGGGGGGAAACAATCTTAGGAAGGAAAGGGAGAAGATCTGGAAAGGCGGCCTTAAAGGGAAGGGGGGAAAGGATCTCAACAGGGAAAGGGGGCAAAGGATCTTAAGGAGGAATAGGAAGAAGATCTCAGCGGGGGGAAAGGCCGTAGGGGGGAAAGAGGGGAAAGGATCTCAACAGGGAAAGGGGGGAAAGATCTCAGTGAAAAAGGGAGAAGGTCCCAGGCAGGAAAAGGCCTTAGGGGGGAAAGGGGGAAAGGATCTCAACAGGGACAGGGGGCACAGGATCTTAGGGAGGAAAAGGGAGAAGATCTGAAAAGGCCTTAGGGGGAAAAGGGGGAAAGGAGCTCAACAGGGAAAGGTGGGAGAAGATCCTAGGGAGGAAAAGGGAGAAGATCTCGGGGGAAAAGATCTTGGGGAGGACAAGGGAGAAGATCTCGGGGGAAGGCCTTAGGGGGGAAAGGGGGAAAGGATCTCAACAGGGAAAGGGGGCAAAGGATCCCGACATTACAGGCCTGCTTTCTTATTTGCGTCCCTTTGGAATTGTCCCCTTGCCCCCTTCCCCTCTGAGATTTTTGCCCCCCCTTTCTTTGTTGAGATCCATTCCCCCTTTCCGCCCTAAGGCCTTTTCTCCCTCTGATGTTTCCCTTTTCCTCCCTAAGATGTTTTCCCCCCTCTCCCTGTTGAGATCCTTTCCCCCCTTTCCCCCCTAAGGCCTTTTCCCCCCTGAGATCTTCTCCCTTTTCCTCCCTTTCCCCCACTTCCCCCCCTACGGCCTTTTCCTCCCTGGGATCTTTTTCCTTTCCTCCCTGAGATCTTTCCGAAAGATCTTTGGGAGGAAAATGGAAATCTTTCTCGGGGGGAACAGGCCCTAAGGGGCAATGGGGGGACAGGATCTCAAACGGGAAAGGGGGAAAAAGACTTTGGGAAGAGAAGGGTGGAGATCTTGGGGGGAAAAGGCCTTAGGGGGGAAACGGGGGAAAGGATCTTTAGCGGGAAAGGGGGAAAAAGATCTTAGGGAGGCAAAGGGAGACGAACTCAGGGAAAAGGACTTAGGGAGGAAAGGGGGGGAAAGATCTTTGGGAGGAAAAGGGAGAAGAACTGAGGGTGGGAAAAGGCCTTAGAAGGAAAAGGGGGGAAATAAATGATCTCAACAGGGAGCTGGGGGGGGGGGGAAGATCTTAGGGAGGAAAGGCAGAAGATCTGGGGCAAAAAGGCCTTAGGGGGGAAAGGGGAGAAATGATCTCAACAGGGAAAGGGGTGGAAAAGATCTTAGGGAGGAAAGGGAGAAGATCTGGGGAAAAAAGGCCAACATGGAAAGAAAGGAAAAAATCTTCAGGGGGAGAAACACCTTGGGAGGGAAAGGGGGGAAAGGATCTCAACAGGGAAAAAGTGGGAAAGATCTTAGGGAGGAAAGGGGGGGGGGGGAAGATCTTAGGGAGGAAAGGGAGAAGATCTGGGAGAAAAGGACTTAGGGGGGAAAGCCCAACAGGGAAAGGGGGGGAAAAGATTTAGGAAGGAAAAGGGAGAAGCTCTCAGGGGGGGGAAAGGCCTTAGGGGGGAAAGGGGGAAAAGGATCTCAGCAGGGAAAGGGGGGGGGGGAAGATCTTAGGGAGGAAAGGGAGAAGATCTGGGGACAAAGGCCTTAGGGGGGAAAGGGGAGAAATGATCTCAACAGGGAAGGGGTGGAAAAGATCTTAGGGAGGAAAGGGAGAAGATCTGGGGGAAAAAAGGCCAACAGGGAAAGGGGGGAAAGATCTAAGGAAGGAAAAGGGAGACGCTCTCAGGGGGGAAAGGCCTTAGGGAAAGGGGGGAAAGGATCTCAACAGGGAAAGGGGGGGAAAGATCTCAGTGAGGAAAGGGAGAAGGTCCCAGGCAGGGAAAAGGCCTTAGGGCGGAAAGGGGGAAAGGATCTCAACAGGGAAAGGGGGCAAAGGA